TCACACAGGGGCCCACACTACTACCGGTGGATCCTGATGCCATGCCCTGCAGTGGGCGGGCATTTGATGCTTTTCTGCAGCTGAAAAATGGATCAATCTATGCTTTTAGAGGTAATCCTGATCACATAAGAGGACAGTTTACTTCTACTTCTACTTTTACTTTTGTTACTTTGTTGCCATTGTGTAATGTCTCTCTTTTTAATTTCCTTAATTATTCAGCAATGCTGTTTTTTCCAATACAGAGAGGAGAAAGTTATAATCAGAAGATGCAGAATTGATACCGTGCCTAAAAGTGTAGATTATAGTAAAAACTAATGTTAATAGCTTAAAAGATCCAAACATTAAAGAAAAGGAGGGAAAGCCTTTTCAATTTCATCCAAAATTAAAATAAAAATGATAACAATTGTTTGAGGAAAGTAAATGCTGAAGGAGCTTTTGCTCAATGAAAACAGAATGTGTTTCTTTAAAAAGTAAACGATAAATGGGTACATATTTGCAGTCATTTTGAACACAGACCCAAAATCAGACTTGAGTACCCATTCGTGGAAACTTTGTGGATTATCCTGCTGCAAGATTTGAAACTCTTTGAATGCTGATGTAAACACTGATCCAGAGCCTGCTCTTCCTCGTAGGTGTATATTTCTTTGAGCTGGATGATAAGTCCATCCTTCCTGGTTACCCCAAACTCATCGAGGACGTTTGGGGAATCAGTGGACCCATCAGTGCTGCATTCACACGTATCAACTGCCAGGGGAAATCCTACATCTTTAAGGTATAAGCTGCTATATTTCTTTGTGATGAGGTACACAAAAGGCTCCACCTCACATAAATGTGTGTTTTTTTTTGTGGTGTGCATGTGTTTTCATGTTTAATTGAGCTACATTTATTGTTTATTCTTTTAAGCCTCTGAAAATTCAAAATGAGTGCCTACAGTTGTAAAAGCCATTGTTTTAAACCGTTTCTCTGTAACTGCGAAATACTCAAACAGTGACTCTGTTGCGTGCAATCATTCAGATCAAATACACTATCCAACATTATGGCAGAAATAATGCTCTTCAGCCCCACACTGGCATGAGTGTTGCTACAAAATGGTGTCGCTTCATTACTCATAATATTGATCTGTTTCCTTATTGATTCGGTTATTTGTACAGTGCATATGAAGAAGAATTGTGCATTTTTTTTCTTGCTATACCCTGCCAGTGGTCTTCAGCTGGATAAAATGGAGTAACCTTACAAAAAAAACATAAGAAACGTGGAGAGAAAGCGGTGTTCTTCTCAACTAACTAACAAAAGTTGTTAATTATGCAAAGTATTAGCAGTATTTTATATTAGGGATGAGCTCTGGGCCTCTTCTTGTTTGCAGGGGGATGCACACTGACAGATGAGGTCAGGCAGGCGTCTCTATGGACTCTATGCAGATGAGATTGTGATCTATAGTGAGAGTAGAGAGCAGGTGGCGGTATGAAGACGAATTAAAGTCAGTAGAAGCAAGATGAAATATGTGTGTGAATGAGAGGAGATTTAAGCGCCTGGGGTCAACAATCAAAAGTAAAAGACGGTGCACAATAGAGGTGAAGAAGAGACAGGGTGGCAGGGTGGAGTGGGTGGAGATGAGTGTCAGGGGTGATTTGTGACTGAAGTGTAGCAGCATGAGAAAGAGGGAATGTTTAGAAGATGGACCTGCTGTGATATTTGGTTTGGAGGCAATGGTGAAATGAGTATATCAGAGGCAGTTGGAGAGGCAAGGCTGAGTTGGTTTGGACATGTGCGGTGGGGGGATAGTGGAAGATGGTGAAGATGGAGCTTTAAGGCACCAAATTACTGGATGTAGTGATAGAGGACGTGCAGATGATTGGTGGGACAGAGGATTGACTGAGATGTTTGCAGCGACCCCTAAAAAGAAGAAGAAGATGATGATTAGGAATGTTTCAGACTTCAAACCTTCTTTAGGGAGAGTAGTCTGTTGCCCTCATTAACACTCCTTCGCAGCGGTATCCTCAAACTTCAATGCTCTGGGCTCCATTTTCTCTCAGGGGAACCAGTACTGGAGATTTGATGGTGACGTCCTGGATGAGGACTATCCACGGCTTATTTCAAACGGCTTTGATGGCATACCAGATGAGATCGATGCTGCGTTTGCCATACCAGCACCAAGTCACCGTGGCAAGGAGAAGGCCTACTTCTTCAAAGGTATTTGTACTAATGGGTGATAATGTTTTTTATCATATACAAGTACAGCAGGGGTTTCTAAGTGTTGCTCGTGATCTGATAAAACTAAGGAAGATGACTTTGCATGTGAATATATAATTGCTTTTACAAGAATAGGGAAGTAGCACCCTATCACACAAAACAAGCAAATTAATAAACAAAGTTGTTTTCATGTTTTTTTGGGGGGGGGTTGCTTCATTTTGTTAATAATTAGTTAAGGAGCTGAATACGTACTTACTTATATTGTAAATATTTTACATTTTTAGGAAATGTTTAACCCACCACATTTATCTGAAAGTCAAGTTATTTTGTCTGTACTTGATAAAGTTACCCTTAACTTTACCCTTAAAGTGATGACTTCAAACAGAGCACTGCTATATTCGTTTATTATTTTAATACAGTGTCTTCACTTGTAACATTTGGTGCTTTTCCTTCTACACTTCACCTCTAAAGCAAAATTTCCTTGCATCATCATTTCACGGCAAGTTGTAAAGACGAGCAAGTTATAAAGAGCAGTCTGATGACACCCAGTGGAGCACAGAGGTTAACGTTTTCAGAAAAAGCAGTTAGAGGCAAAGCAAAGAGTTAGAGTTACAGAATCTGATGGAAGCAAATGCAGGTGGCAAGGTTTTATCTGCATTTGTATATCATTAAAAATGTATCGGCAACTCCACAGCCTCGTTGTTTCTCTCTCATCGAGTAAAATCCTGAAATCTGATTTTTCTCTTTTCTTCAGGGGACCGGTATTACCAATATGAGTTCAAGCACCAGCCTTCCCACGAGGAGTGCATCCAGATGAGCAGGTCCTCCCCTTCTGTGCTGTTCACACAATACACAGACCTCTTCTGCGATAACGCATGGGAGGATCTCTTCACTGAGCTCTTTGGAGGATCCTGTAAGGACCTTGGTCTCTTTATGCTTGTCTGTTTCAGATTTTTTTTTTCTTATTCTCCATCTGCATGACTTTTGTATTTTAGCAGTTACCAGTTCCCAAACAGGCCCTTGGTTCATCAGCAGGGATTGGCGGGGTATTAGGCCCGTTATAGATGCTGCCATAGTGGGGCGAGTCTACACCACTCCCAAACCAACTTCACCTCCGACCGCAAAGAAGTGGAAGAGTCAGAGGAAGAGGCCCAGTAAGAGGCGTGGACAGCGAAGAAGGCAGAGTCGCCACGATGACTTTTGGTTCTATGATTTGTTCGACCTCGGTGATTACAGTGACAGCTCTGAAGAGAGCATCATGCAGGAGTACCAAAGCACCCCCGTTCAAAATGTGTACTTCTTCAAGAAGGGTAAATCAGCCTGAAAAAAAAATGAGTCAAAATCCTTCCAAAAACAGCTCTTTATTCTTCCTTAACACCTTTTGGTTTGTGTGTTTCCTTTTTGTTTTTAATATCAGATAAGTACTACAGAGTGGATCTGCAGACAAAACGCGTGGATGCCACTTACCCTCCCTATCCTCGATCTATCGCAAAGTACTGGCTGGGCTGCAAGCATGAAGCTGCTGCACCTGATGCATCAAGGGCAGAAAAAAGATAAATACTTGTCTTGACTATTACAATATGGGGCTAATGATGACAACACCTTTGACCCTTGCATGTAGTTCAGGATAGACACCTCTCCAATGGCCTCTTAGGTGGATACACTGAAATTATTCAAAATTAATAAACTTTACATTTCAGTGCTTGAGTGCTTTGATATTTTTGACCACATGGCAGAGATTACACACACACACACATCTAATGTGATCTGTAGCCATGCATCATGTCTACATGCCCAAACTCAACACCCAGCCTTTATCAGCGTTATCAGTGGGAGAAATGTTTCACCACTCATCCATCTTAGCTTACAGCAGATTTGCTCAATCTTTTAAAGACTAGTTTCATACTGACCTAAAATAACACCATATATATATATATATATATTTATATTTAAAAAAATAACTTCAAGTTGTAATAAAGTTATGCAAATAGCCACTCATTTACAGAGTTAGGGAATGGCTGCTGTCACAGCATTAGAAGATGGTGAAAGATTTACTCCTTGGTTCAGTTGCGGTTCCTTTTACACATAAATTAGGGCAGATGTAATGTTTATAAGCTTAGGGAAACCTGCAGACTGAAGAGGTCACTTTCCTCCCCCTGAAAATGCTGTATCTAGTGGGACTGAATCAACCTTTTGGGGTAGCCTGACCTGGTTTTTACAAATGCAACATACAACTGAATATGCGCGCACACATACAGGCCTCTGTTCAGTGAATTCATGAGTATCCCTACAAGAGGCTGCCGTAATCCTGTGCTGACCTCTTCAGGTGGGGGGGAAAAAAAAAAAAAAAAAAAAAAAAAGCACCCTCTATTGGGCAATAGGCCGGTACAAGGGAAAATATATCAAAATAAATACAATAAAAAGCTGTGTTACAACTTTGAAAAGGCATTAGGAAATTTGTATTAAGGTTTAAGTAATTTATAAACCACTACAGATGTTTTTAACATAACCTGATATTATCGAACTGTGCATCAGTGGGAAAAAACAAAAAAACCAAATACACACTCCCTTGAGGTTGTTTAAAAATGAATAAAAATCTGATTTGCGTCAGTGACGCAACATTTAATGTTACGGGAGTGTTTAAAAGTTTACTTTAATCAAAACAGAAAATAAAAAGGCACCGCTGGGATTCGAACCCAGGATCTCCTGTTTACTAGACAGGCGCTTTAACCAACTAAGCCACGGCGCCACGTGATTCCTGACCTCAAGAAGAGTTTATGAATGATAACACACAACCTGAGAGACTCGTTCAGGATACATTTATTAGTAAAAAGTACGTTATGTACATAACATTGTTAATAGTAATATGCATTTTATTTACATTAGAGATCTCCACGGCCTGCCATGAAAATCGTGAAATATACCCCCCCCCCCCCGAAAAAGGCGATCTGGTCATTCGTGTCCCATTTCCCCGTCACAATAGTTGGCATACCTTGTAACAAAACTCTGGTACCGAGTTTCAGTTGGAAACAAGTGCGTCTCATTTACTTTTTTCCCGGGACTCCGCTGAAGCCCACTCAGCAAGGACAGCTTTGACTCAAGTGCTAAACGTTATCTTTGCAACCCCATCCAAAATATAAACAAACTATGTGCAAAAAGGACATGTGAAATCATCTGATGTGCATCATACTGGTGTTTCTTAAATAGATAACGAATAGCACAAGTCACAGTTACCACCTCCCCAAGGTAGACTCGGCACCTTTGTCCAAAAAAAAAAAAAAAAAAAAAAAAATGTTAGCGCAACACTTTGAAAGACCGCGACATCACTGAATGGGTGCACTAGTGGAGGCCACCACGGCAACTGGCGACACAGCGTGGACGTATGGGTGTGAAAACGGATACACTGATGTAGCAGACATCCTGCTGCAGGCTGGCTCGTAGCTGTTACACAAACGGACGTGTTGTTGGACGTGGACCCATTCATGTCGTGGTCTTCAATATGTTGCTCTCAGTTATGCCAAAAGATAGTCAATCATTGAGCTGTCCAAGCTGGGCAGACTGGGGACCATCAGGTCCTGGAAGCACAGATCCGACAGGTCGGCCAGGGTCTCTATAGAGCTGGAGAGAGCCTGGAGGCCTTGCCGACTCTGGATGTCTTCCTTGTGGACAGGATGGCCACGTTCTGCTGGCTGTACCCCCCGTGCATTGAGAAAAGCTTCAAAGTCCTCTGGTAAATCCAACTCATCCAGCCCTTCGTATGGAAACACGTCTTGGCAGTAGCTGGTGAAGTCCTGGGATTGGTGGCAAAAGATTTGGGGAACGTCTGGTGACTTGGTCTGGATGTCCAGGATTGACGAGAGCCTGGTGGACTGAGGTAGACTGGGCACCCAGTAGTCTGTTGGAGACGCAAGGCTGGGACTAGGAGGTGGCGGAGAAGCCACCTGAGGAGTGCACGGTGTCTTGTGACTGACCTGTGAAGGTTTGGTGGCTCCTCGAGTTGATTTCTTAGTCTTGAAGAAGCGTGCGCGCCGATTTTGAAACCAAACCTGAAGAAAATTGAGAATTACATGAAACTCTTAGTCAACAAAACAAGTGTACGTTGTCTAAATTAGCCTTAGGTCGCACGTGTCCTACCTGAATTTTAGACTCCGGTAGTCCAGTTAGAGTGGCCAGGGTTTTCCTTCCATTGATATCCGGGTAGGGTGTAGCAGAGAAGGCCCTCTCCAGCTGGCTCAGCTGCGCCTTGCTGAATATTGTGCGCTTCCGGCGGCACTTTGTCTTCGAGTTGATCGTGTATGGAACATGGTGCACTTTAGAGGGGGGGCAAAACGTTTTGTTAAAACTGACAATTACATTTTAAATGCAGAAATTAATTTGCAGAGTCAACAGCCCACAGATTTATACAGATGTTTGGCCTCAAACTATATCACATTTTAAATGTGCAAATATAAATACATGTCCACCTACCCGTGCTGGAGCGCTGTGCCGACCCGTTGTTGTTGCTGTCAGTCAGTGCATCAGGCCATAACTGCTCCGAGAAAAACGTGATGATCTCAGAAACATTACCGCTGGTAAAATCCATCCCGCACGCTGTGTCCGAAGCACGCAGCTAAAAGGGGAAATAAGTTTCCGTGAGTGAGTCCCAGACACTTCTCCAGTGAGCAGGCATGATGTCAGAGGGATTTTATACCCGAGTTCTGCAGACACAACACGACCCCCTGCGTGGCATCCTCTTGCACATCACAGACGCGATCGGGCTTTGCGAACGCGTGGCTTTGATGTGCTGCTCACCTGTTAATGGCTGTCTGGATAATAGGTGTCTGTTTGATCCCCTATGGCCCGTTAATGGGCCCCGTTTAGACCAGAGAGACAGCTTGTCTTCAGCTGCGGACAACGAGATGCTCCAGAAACCTTAAAATGGAAAGATGAATCAAAGACACCCGCAGGTGAAGAAATAAACTTATCGTGGGCGTGTTTTCTTTCATTTTAAGATCATTTTCGAAGCAAGACACTCTGATTTTATGGCAACTATTTTGGCCTGAAATTATAAACACATGTGTTACTAATCAACAGCGGGGAGGGGGGCAAATTAAAATGATTGAAAACACCTTGAAGCGGCTGCTCTGATCCGGGTCTAGTTTTGTTTTTAATAGTGCCCGTAATAATGATATTCATGAACGTATACAGTGTAAGGCATCCGCACTACGAGGAGCGAAGCGACACCGGCACTGTTTTATTGATTTGAAGCTCCAGTCTGCGGCACATCCTCCACCGCGCGCCGCCTCCTGGTGCGCATGAAAGCGCGCAGTGGAAGCGTATTGGAGAAGTTGTGGGAGTGACGCTTCTGTCAGCTATAATGTGTGAAGGTGACAAATCAGGCTACTTTTTTTCCCACCCCTTTCTTCGTTGTCGGTTGTGTTTCCACCGAACGAGACATCAAAACACCGGATCACTCGTAGTCCTTTTCAGCCAGTTCCCAGGCGAGTGCCAGACTCGCAGCTCCTTCACAAACAGACAGAAACGGGCTGCATGTATTAAATTACAACACGTCCACTGATTTTGCTTATAAGCAGATTTTTTTGAATGCTACAATATATTTTGTAGAGGCTGCATGAAATAAAAATTAGCCTACTTGAACTGAGACGGCGGCCTTGTTGATTGGGTCAAATTAGCTGTGAAGTACTCTACGTTCACCCTCTCTCCAGAGAACAATGCGCCATTAAAAAGATCATAAGCCAAGCTCACGTGATTTGATTAAATGCAATAACATAACAGATGCAGTCGAAGAGGTCCCAGCAAACTGTGGAGTACAAAGAGTGGCCTGTGTTTGTGTGGGACAAGTTTGTAATGCTGGGAAGTGGTCTGAAAAATGAAGGTGGTAGAAGAAACATTTTCAGTTCCACGAATGGCTCAGGAAAGCTCAGACTGTTTGTTGTTGTTGTTTGTTTGTTTTGTTTTTAGTAAAGAAAACTCTTGATGCATTTAAATCTGCCACGTCCAAGTGTAACCGCGACAGTGTCTTCAATAAAAATAAAACTGCACAGAAAGGATTAAAAGCTTCCTGCAAACACAAACTGCTGTTAGGAACACTTTGGTTTTAGATCACGGCCTAAAAATATGCAGCTACACAGTTTAAGCGTATGGAAGATAAATGCACTGTTTTATGAAAATGCAACTTTTTAAATGCTTTCTGTATGTAAATAGTGACATAAAATTAAGTCGAGTGTTTTCTGTTCAAATTGTTACCAGTAATCGATAATTAACTGATTAATTTGTATTTCAGATAATAACCTTTAGGTTTCACTGTAATGAAGATAGATTTGCATATATCTTATTAAACAACGCTTCATATAAATATTCTCCCCCAAAATGAAAATACTATGAATAATGAGAGGAAGAAGAAACTATATGAAAACTGCCTTCCTGTGGCTTCTGTCACAGCTTTT